GTGACGTAGGCGACGGGCCGGCCATCATGGCGCCCCACGCGTCGATATAATATCTACAAAAGTTTTTGAGCATTTTCTTCACAGCCTCGTAAAAGGGTCATCGTTTTGAAATACTCAGGTTTAGGTAAATTTGGACAATTAGGTTGAGCAGACTATTGATCTGATGGAGTGTGATCAGTCCTAGAGAGCCGTAGTTTAACTCATCAAAACTATTAAGAAATTAATAAATTAATTGCAAATGGCAAGGCTCTGCGGGACCGCTCCAAAATGTTTGTGACTCCTCGAGTCAGGTATAAAATTCAAAAGTTTTAGCTAGTTTATAGATTTAGATAAATCTGTCGAGCTGATGCACCCTTTCAAACTTTGTAGATAAATAATTCTATATACCTAGTTTTAAATAATTAACACTTACATTATTAAATTTGAGCACCAAATCGTACTTAATATTTAGTCAAAATGTTAAACATAGGGACTGTAGTTAGCACAATATTTGGACTTAGGTACTTTCTATATGAATAAATTCTAATTTCCGTCTTGTTGAACGTCGCTACATGAACGAAGCTCGTATTAGGATGAAATACAACGGTTTCATCGGACTGACATAATGTTCTTAAAATTTAATTAACTCTTAGTACCTTAAGACTTAAATAATTTTACTTCACGAGATGTAGTTAACGCTTAATGCAATATTTATTATTAAGTTACGAGTATGAAGTTTAGTGCAATAATTTTATTGAAAATTGTATGAAATTTATGTTATATGTTTTGTTTTGTTTGTCTTTACACATGGCTCGAGATGCGTAGCACATAAAACGTCAACACGACATTCGGACATGTTTAGAGTGTTATACAATACGTTTTCAGTATTATGTGTATGTAAGATTTTTAGACTATCGTTATTTTCGAAACATTTTACATTGAAAATTAAGTGATTTTTATAGACTGTAGGTAAAAAGTAATTTATTGTTACTTTTAAATTATTTCCAAAAATGTTTCCAAGACTACTTGTATGTGAGTTTATCTTCGTGAATTTCTCTGAAATGAATCAAAGCAATGTGTGATGTCAAAGCGGTAGGAAACTCTCTCGGCGTCCTTCTTAGCTTTAAATTGTAACATGTTGGTCTTCTACTCACTGTAATATTATGTAATTATGTTTTACTAATTATATAAACAGGACAGCAGACGGCATAAGCTTTAATGCACACATAATACTTAATTTAATACCTACATCGAATTACTACTGTTAATGGAAATTATTTTAGTCTGGCAATACAGCGCGAGCGATGCGCAAGCGCGAAAATCTCAAAATTTGGTAGTTTATTGAAAATTCGTAGAGGGAAAACGCAGCTCAATAGTTGTTGAAGTCATTGTATAGTCATAAAAGCTTAATAATTAATTATATTATGTTAATTCTTTTGTATGAAACGAAAAATAATTGTTTATATGTGTACTTACTTTAACTATTGTGAACAAAACAATACATAATACAGTAGCTCGGCTCTTGTCAATTATTTACTAGTGCTAATCACGTTGTTAACTGTGTCTGACTATAATAATACTAAATTGTTGTAGTTGAATTCATTGCAAACATTAGATGATTTGTATAATATATTGTCCTTGTTTCTTCATAAATATTTTACACTGGTGACTGTATTATTATTTTACACCCTATCAATAACGAAATACCTCAATCGTTTTGGTTGAAATCCGATAGAAATTATGTCATCATTAACTAGAGACTAATTTCAATTAAGGTTAGTTTAAAATTAAATTTCGGCCGAATATGAATACCTCATGCTAAAACTTTTAAAGAGAATCTTCCACATAAGGAGCTTAACATTAACAGGACCTTTTAAATTAAATTCTATATATTTTTAATTAACTCATGTGAAGAAAACAAACGTAAAATAGTTATCCGTAAATCTAAATACAAATCGACGATTATTGCCGACCAAAATATTCAAGTCAATACAGATGTAACGAACTCCCAAAACACGCCACAAGTAATGGTCAAAAATAAGTTTTATTTTCATAAAAGTAAGGAATAAAATGTTTCTTTCATGTAAAAGTGGTTGTAATCAAGGCTGATGTGCATTAATAACTCTTCCTAGTCGATTCTCTCACTGCTGAGAATCGTAACTCCCTCTGATTTTGCTCACTAGATGTCGCCACTTATCTCGTCCCGTTGCTTGGTGTATTGCAACATTCATAGGTATCTCCAGCTCCTTGGATATTTCGTCAGACCACTGTATGGGACTCCGGCGTCTCGGTCACTTTCCTTCTACCTTACCAGTCACTATGAGGCGTTCCAGACTACTAGCATCTCTGCGAGCAATTACTGCGAGCAATCCTTTGCATTAATAACACGTAAACAAAAAGGATTAAAACTATTTTTTTGTCAGTGTTTTCGGAAGCATTCCGCTACTCGCCATGTATATCCAAGACATGTTTGACAATAAAACCAATAGATTGACACAAGATACACTTTTATTACATCAAAAAGACCATCCGCAATGACGGAGACAAGACGGTTTCCGCACCACAAAATGAATGAAGGAATGTCAATATTTTACAAAACATTTATTTCTTATTGAAGTACAAAATTCTGGACTGTCGTATAACTTAAGTAAATATTATTAATATCTTACATTCGGAACCTTTTGCCCTACTTCATTAGGGCACCATAGTCATACTAAAACGTTGCGCGACCAATAAAATGTATACAGTTGCAGGGCTTCTCACCTAATGTCAACTTGTTTGCGCAACCAACTCATTGCCGGCGACCAAATTAGCTCTGTAGATACCATGGTATGGCGCAAACTGTTTGTACGACAATGGTGTCCTAATATAATAATAAATAGGGGCCTTATTATAACAAAATATGGAGATTAATTCATGTGCGTAGAGTTAAAACTTGCATTTAAATAATATTGTAACTGATCACAATTATTGCTATTTATTTAAAAAAAAAGCCTTTCGATATTAAGTAAATAATTGTAGTAATTATAACAACGGTTTACGAACTATTAACAGCTAGATTATATTACAATTGTATTGGTGATGCGTTATGAAGTTCTTTTTTTACAATCTGAAATGAATCACCAATGAGGTAACAGTATTTACAAACATTTATTTTGCGCTACCGTTGCGCAAGTGCGCAAACGTTTACCCAATATACTCTGGTGTAGAAGTTACAGAATACATTTCTGATGCAATTAATATTCACCATATTATAAAAAAAACTAGCGTTGTTCAACTTATCGCTAAAAAACTCGATAACACATCGCCAAGTTCGATAACTAAGTCGTGAGGGTGTCTACTTATAATATATCTAAGATTTTACAGGCTACCAACAAAACCACAAAACAGCACTTATCACAAATACACATTCTGACATTTTAAACTTTCGCAACTACAGGAACAAACATATAATTGCGCTAAATACATCTGTAAGCATTTAAGAATCGAGATCGTATGAAACTCGATAGCGTATTGAAATAACCCTATTCTGTTAATAATTAAGGATACGAGATACGACGCATATAAAAATCAATATTAGAAGACTTGTTTGCTTGTTTCAGAAACCACCTCCAACTTTCTAAAAGGCGAAATTTGTACTATAATTTGGAATTTAAATCGAAATCTACCAAATTGCAAGAGGATTCAAGAAAGGGGTCTTATCTTGCGACAGAATAATTTAAACTTTACATCTACAAATAAGAGTCAGTACAGCGTAACTCGAAAACGATGCTACCGTTATGATTGAGAAAAGGCTACATATAAGAAAAAAATATCTATTAACTCGTCGAGTACCGTCACCGGTGACCGCTTGTTGTTTGACAGTTTAAACTGTTTTAACAGTTTAAACCGGTGTTTGACAGTTTAAACTGTTTTAACAGTTTAAACCGGTGTTTGACAGTTTAAACTGTTTAAAAACCAAGCGGTCACCGGTGACCGCAACCTATTGTTCTATAATTGTGTCTATATTGACGGTACTCGACGAGTTAAATAACAATTTGAAAATTATCTCTAAATCTTCACAAATAAGGTTGTTAATGAATCAGCTTTTTTAATTTAATTGTTCACTAAGTTTCTCTTAATTTAACGACTGATTATGATACAAATGTATTCCGCGGTAATTGTTTAAGAACATTCTAGAATACTTTCTTTATTGCAAGAAGAATGCGACAATGGAACGTTTTATAAAAATATTTATATTATACCTATGAAAACTAACAAGAATTATTGGTTTATACTTAACTATGTATTTCTATGACAGCCGTAATTATTGAAGGACTATTAACAAATGGAAGAGCTTGAAAAAGATTAAATAGGTTCTTATCATTCTAAAGTCGTCACCTCATATGCATAGTATCAAAATCTATATGTATTTGGATACTAGGCATATTAAGAGATAATTTACGGCGTTAAATCTATTATCTACATAGGAAATTAACATTAAATTATTGCAATATTTTACTCATAGGTAATAACTAGCTTTTGCTCCCACCATCATAGATAATACGCGTTAAATTCGGAGTTCGTGTACATATAAACCTTCCTCTTGAATCTATTAAACAAAACCCCATCAAAATGTCTTGCGTAATTGCAGATATCTAAGCATACAGTCACGGCCCAATAGGGCTGATGGCGACACGGAGCCGCGCAGGGCTTAACGGGTTGCCGGGAATCCAGCTCGAAGTGCAGAGTTAGGAACAGAGTGTTTTTTAGTCAGTAAGAGTCTGGCACTCCCTCTCGCCTCACCCAGGCCGCGAGAAGTCATGATGATTTTCCCCCTCAAAAAAAGTATACAAACCTCACAGACTAGATATCTTGGTGTTGTTAAGATAGCTTCGTTAAAATAAACACTGTGCACATTGTTTTTAGGTTGAATATCGTCTAATCGAATGAATTAATTGACATCAGCTTTTTATCGTAATCAAGGATAGCAAACACTTATTTGAGTTCGTGAACAAAAGATATATTATTAAAACTACAAGTAATATTGAACCTTAGTTATTTATTTATAACAATTAAGTTACATTGTCGCATTCGTTACATTACAAGCAGCACTTATCTAGGATGTTCGACTTTGTCACGATAAAATGACAGGTAATTTTGTAAATTTTTTTGGGACAATGGAGAAGGACATAGGCGTAATTGTACGGGCAAAGCCTAAGGAGCTAGTCAAAAAAGTAATTAGAAATATTTACTGAACATGTTCTTTTATGGGATAGTCGGATCAAACGAGCTGACGGATCACCTGATAGTAAGCAATCGACGGAACCCGCTACACCGAAGGAGATAGAAATGTGCGTCATTTCACTTGTAGGGGGGTTAGGGATTTAAGGGTTGATAATTTGGACACATGCTCCAACGTGACCTTTATGGTCAAATACTCAAATACACTTCAATGTTAAGCCTTACAAGTACTTCTATCACTACAAATACTTTATTAAACGAGAGAGATAGCGCGTTACTAAATTTGAGTAGCATTTTAGTATTTGGCCGTTAGGACACAAGATTACCCGAAACAACTGTAGCTCTTATAATATTAAATTATTACGTTCATTACCTATATTTCACTGCACCTGTTGCATCGTAGTTCTTGTGAATAGTTCCATAGTGAGTGCGCTTAGGAACAGTGGTATAGAGCGGTGCTGGTGTAGATGTAACTCGACTAACTCGCCGAGCGTCGCTGAGTAGTCAGTGTGGACCATCTCTATGCCGTCGTCGTCCAACGTAAACGTTAGATACTCTTCCGATGACTCCGCGTACATGTTTGATATTCTGTAAAGGTAAAAGAGAAAAAGTTAAGTTTGGTAACGTATACCACGTATATACGTTGAAGTGACCCGGAGGTATAAGACGCCCGCTTCTCATGCATGAGAATGCGGGTTCGAAACCTACCAACGGCAAGTACCAATGTTATTTTTTCCGAGTTATATGTACTTTCTAAGATTATTTAGACACCACTGACAAACGGTGGAGGAAAACATCGTGAGGAAACCTCAGGTACAATTTCTAATTATAAGTTTTGAATCGCCAACCCGCATTGAGCTAGCAGGGTGATTAATGGTCGAACCTTCTCCGTGTGAGACGAGGCTTTGCTCAGCAGTGGGCATTTATAGACTGTTGATGATAATGCTAAACGTATACCTAACGTGACCATTTACTTTCTGTGCCAGAGCGGAACAACTGCGAAATAGTTCTAAAAAAAATCTACGGAATCACTACATAGTATAAAACAAAGTCGCTATCCGCCGTCTGTCTGTCCCTATGTATCTTTAAAACTACGCAACGAATTTTGATGCGGTTTTTTTAATAGATATACATACAGTTAAAAACGATAGATGCATTGTTAAAGCTAAAGCGGGACATTTCTGCTCTTGCGGGGGACAGCGGGACAGACAGTCTGAAAGTGGGACAGTCCCGCCAAAAGCGGGACGTATGGTAACGTTACGTATACCACGTTTTTATTCTCAAAGACCAAGTTATAAGTGGTGCATAATTATAACAAGTATTATACATAAATGCCGAACACAGTCTTTGCCAGTTCCGAGTTCCATATAAAAGAGGGTACACTTTAAATAAGCATCGGACCCGATTTCAGACTACGAATTATAGTTAGAATTTTCAAATATCGCGTATCGAACTCAGAAAAAATTAATTATAACTTTCGTGAGACATACATATACATACTATACATTAATGACCAGCCATGCTAGAGGCTCATATTCATTAGCAGCATTCCGGGACCCGCGACGCGCCGACTGACGCGCTGCCAAACTAATCGAGTTCCTCGTCAAATAATTACGTGAATAAGCCGGAAAACGTAATAATTAAAAAATAAATTGTTCCGTTATTTAGCTTAAAAGTAGTTTTATATAATGTCTACACATGTTAATGACCGTCAGATAATGTTTACATGCAAAGAAATGCACTCACCTATAATTCTTATGTCCAGTTCTATCAATTTTATAACCTAATAGCATGTAGCACACGTCTCTGTACTCCTGCGCTGAGGACGTGAACTCTTCTTTCAACCTGGAAACCAACACAATTTATTATTATTTATATTGAATATAGAATAATAGATAAAAAAATAAATTAAAAAAAAAGAAAATATTTTATTTTCATTTGTCCATACAAATGTACATTCTGGAACGAACGCCTAGTTTTATTGATGACTGGCACGTTTTAAAAGCGTCTGTATGTTAATTCGAAAAACCGACGTCAAGCAACGCTTGCGTTGTGTTTCGTCGTGTGAGTGAGGTTACCGGAGGCCCAATTACTCTCCCCTTCCCCAATCTCCCCAATCCCTGAATCCCCGACGATCCTCAAACTCCTAATCCCCAAAGGGCCGGTAACGCACTTGTAACGCCGCCGATTGCTTACCATCAGGTGATCCGTCTGCTCGTTTATCGGCTTATGCCATAAAAAAAACAAATGCTTTGACTCTATCTACCTTTTAAGTTTAATGCGACTGCTTTCCAGCTGTTGCTTCAACTGCTGGATTTCTTCAGGACAAGCTAGAGAGCCGCCACCTTCTCGCAAACTTGCTTTTAGTCTTTTGATCTAGAAAGCAACAAATACAAAATAATAAGAATAAGTATATTAAATTATTGAGCGCTAGCCATATTACAAATAATAAGCGTTTTGAGTTACAATCAGATGTACTATTAATCCCAATTAATTAAAGTGTACTCGCTAGTTAGCTCAATGTTCGAGGATACTCGACTAATCTCAACCAACACCGAGGCTTATAAACTTATAATCACAAACTGCGTGCGCTTCGATAGATTCTGGATCGACCAATCTAATTGTCATAATTGGGCAACGAACTGAATTACCAGTGTTTAACCACTTAAGATATAAATTAGTTTTATACCACACAACGAATGACACATTAAAAACAGTAGTAAAAAAATATGAAGGATGAAAATTCAGTTTATTTCAGTTTCAATAAAGAAAAGTTTAAAGCATGATATAAGCTTCAAATTAGAAACTTAATTTTCCAATATTATCTACCAGAAGCAAGTTCTCTACAGCGTGAGACTAGGACTTTAGAATACGGTGATTACAATTTTACTATCTCTTTCAATAGTTTAAAATCATAGGCTGACCATGCTGTATCGCCGTGTTTTATCAAAACTATATCGTCTAAATATTACACAATTTGCTATTTAACTTTACATTCGCAAAGCAAACTTACGTGAGGCGCACAGCGTCGTGATCGTGATTAATACGGTCTAAATCGGTTCAGCCGTTTCGGAGCAAAATGTGATAGACATGCCAACAAAATAGAAGAGAATAAACACCCGATTCAGAGTGTAGTACTATGTAGTTAAGCCCTAGAAATTAAAGACTTTTGTATGTACATGATGTACCTAATTGTACCTATTCATATTATGACTAAAGTAATTAGCAAATGTATAATTAGCTGTTATAACTTACTTTACTAAACCTTGATCAAAAAATATATTTAAAATTTTTTCTATATTTTATACAATAGTTCAGGCTATATTTTATACAATAGCATGTTAAAAACGGAGTAAATTATTCAGAAGTAACTAAAAACTATAAAAGATGAACATGTAATGTAATGATGATGTATATTATTATAATTATATAGTTCAAGAGCTAGTAGTCATTTTTGGTAGGTTAAATAAACAGTCATTTTTCAAAAGTAATAAAAATTTAATTATCAAGAATAGACAATGGCCAAAGCATAGAAATTCAAAGACGAGTAACAAATTTGATTTGAAACTCCACTGATGATGTGTGTCCATGACCAGTGCTAATTGAGTATCATGAAGAAATTAGTCAACTTGTTAGCGTTCTTGTACAATGAAAAGATACTCTGTAAAATGATCACTAACTCTCTGACTATAAGTCATAGCTCAGCATAATATAACAAGAGATGTTTAGTAGTTACATAAGATTTAAATAACATACCTCTTCTTGTGCAGCCTCTAGGTCTAACTGGACTTGTTTCTGGGCTTCTGCCGCGGGATTGTTGGTTAGGTGGAGCACCTGGAAGTAGATATGGTGCAATTAAAGGATGACAATCTCCTACTCTTTATTTCTTTCTTCTTTAAAAAAAAACGTTACCCCATACTAGGATTTTCTCGTGTGTGCGTTTACAAATATACAATTTCACATACACATGACACCCAGACCCGGAACAACAATCTGTGGATTAAACAAAGAGTTGTTCCGTGCGGGAATCGAACCCGCGACAAGTTGTGCGGCAGCCAGTTACCCAGACACTGTGCCAACCGTGCAGTAATCTTTGCTTTTGTTAATCACTTGGTTAATCTTTTGTTAATCAAATGTAAAGCTTTGGTTAAGCAGTATGTAGAAGATGACTATATTATATTCTTGACGTTTTCTTTCATTGGTACGTGAGTACGTGACATTAATCAAAACAATGCCGACCTGAAAATTGGTTTTTTAACCCGATTACAAAATATACATATTTTTAAGAAATCTCGCCATTTTTATATCTGCAGTTCACCACTAGTACGTACCTTGGTCTGCGATTGCGCGCCGATACGTTCCAAGTTCGCGTGTAGCGTGTCCCTTTGTGCTCGTAACTTGGCTACGTCACGCTTGAGGTTCTCGGCCTCCTCGCGCCATTTGCTTGACTCTGCGCGTAACGTCTCCACCACTGCGTTAATAGTAAAAAAATAATAAATAAGTATATATTTAGATTAAGGGTTACATTCTAGAGAGAATTTTGTAGAATACGGTAAATAGAAAATATAACATTTGTTATTGTGTTGATCACACAGCATTTTCTACTTATTGAGAACTTACAAAAACTATTTGTTGTAGAGATATTAGCAACTAGGTATTGTAACGTTAAGTGTTAGTAGTTACTATCGGGATTTTCATGTTCATATGAAGACGCGGTTATATTTGTAATTTTCAGAAGAATATTCCCAAGTCGCCTGCCAAACATGAAAATTATAACAACCCTCTCAAACCCCCATTATGGAGTTTCTTGCTCGTTGTTCGAGCGACTAGCTTCACTAACAGACGGACAGATCATTTTTGATGTTTCAAAACAGCCTAATTGAGTATTAATTGAAATAAATGCTTCGACTTTGCCCCCTCTAAAGACCCCTTTGTCAAGCAATGGACAGCTTCCAGAAGCCAGTGATGGTTGGCGAGGTACGCACGCGCGGTGTGGGCGGGCTGGTCGGAGAGCGCGAGCAGGTCGCGGTAGGCCTGCAGCGCGCGCTCCAGCTGGTCCACGCGCGCCGCCAGCAGCGCCGCGCCGCCCGCGCCCGCCTCGCCGCACAGCGACACCGACAGCTCCTTCTCGTAGCAGTCCAACTGCTGTCTGCAACGACCAATCTGGATTTTAACCACTTGTACCACATTAGTACTAGATATGAAACTTTTTACACCGATTTGAGGCCTTCAATATTTTCAATTGTATAATAAATCTCAAGAACTATAGCAGAATTTTAAGTAAATGCAAGAAACCGTGTAAATGAAAAGAAAGAAAGAAAAATATTTTTTTATTTGTGGAAATAATCAAACCTTAAGTTCTCAGGTCATCTGTCATCTACATCTGTACTATCTTGATTAGAAGATATAAAAAATTTACATTTTTGTGACTTCCACAGTACATTTATACTGTTCGAATAACAATATAAAATACTCTAAAAATCGTACCTATAGCTATCTCTCTCCCGGGTGACAAGTAGCAGCCGCTTCTGCAGCCTATGTATGAGACTCTCCTGGTTCTTGCGAACTACTTGCAGGTCGTTCAGCTTGCCAGTCGCCTTGTCGCGCTCGAACTTTACTGTTGCTACTTCCTGAAAATATATTTCACAGTGATTTTTTAACAAGATCTCGCCTGACCTTGCAGATGCATATAGGCCTCTAAAAATGACATATTTTTGAATATCTCTCTTTGAATATCAAGAGATTTTTAATTAGTGTTATTTCCTATCTTTATTATTGAATTTTTTGAGGGTTTGTTTGCTACATATATAAACTTCTTACAATGTACTGAAGGACATGGTATTAAGTAGGTATTTTGAACAAACTTATTTACAATGCTTGCGATATGTCATCACCCACCTCAGTGAGCTGCGCCAGCTGCGACTGGGCCTGCGAGGAGGCGGCGGTGGCGTCGAGCTGCGAGTTGAGCGCGGCGTCCAGCGCGGCCGACAGAGCGCGCGCGCTCTCTACTCCGTGCGTACGCGCCGCTGACTTCCATTCTTCTAGCGCTGATTCTAGAGTTGCTAGTTTAACCTATAAACAATAACATCATGACTATTATTGATGGCTAAATTATCATGTACAACCATCACAACTTTTTAATTTTCGAAAGGGTAGGCAGATTTGTATGTTCCCTCCTTCTTGTTCATTGTACCCTATAATGTTTCACTAGTTATGAGACAGACAATATAAGTACATACAAAATACAGAATATAAAAAAAAATACTGTAACGGAAAAAATTTCAATCCAGTTATTTCTTACCTTGGCCTCGTGCAGTTCATTCTGCACAGGCTGCAAGACATCAACCCTGGACTGCAACTGATGGACTTGTTCCTCCAACAGTAGCTTGTTGCAGACTGCATCGCGTAGCGACCGCTCTTGTGAACGAAGTCTGTTCACCTCCTTCTCTAGCTCCGCCATATTGCTTAGACGTTTTTGTGCAGTCTATGAAGTGAATTGAAAATGTTAACTAATTATTATTGAGATTATTAAGAATTCAAAGGCATTATTTCAATATTGACTTTGTTTCCTACGTACTACAAAGTACAAACTACCACCGCGCTGTTTTACCCGCTTCTCGACTCGTATCGAACGAAATCGATGAAGACTGATCGAAGCCTGATGTTTTATAGCGTGAATAGACTATTAAATACAAAAACTATCCTTACTTCCTTACTAATATTATAAATCGCAAAGAAAGTTTGTTTGTTTGTTTGTTCCGCTTTCACGCCGTAACTACTAAACCGATTGCTTTGAATTTTTGCAGACGTAAAGTTAGAAGTACGGATTAAATAATAGGGTACTTTTTATTCCGGAAAAAATTGATATTCCCGCGAAAAAACAAAGTATTGGTCTAGATGGCGCTATATGTATTGGTATATGTCACATAGGCTACTTTTTATCCTTTCGTGACGCGAGCGAAGCCGCGGGTAAAAGCTAGTACAACATAAAATTCAATGAAATTAGAGTGTCTTCTGAGATTTTTTAATGGAATACCGAATAAGCCAGTAAACGAGCCGACGGATCACTTCAATGTAAGCAATGGGTGTCGCCCATAGACACGCGGAACCCCAGAGGCGTTACAAGTGCGTTACAGGCCTTTTGGGGATTAGGAATTTGACGATTTCGAGCCGGAACGTTCGTACCTAAGTGTGCCTCTCCCACACTTAAATCACAATGGTAATTATTTCCGACAATAATTCAATATCTATCTACGACCCTCACCTTAGCTTGCTGCTGCCAGTCTTTGTAAGAGTCTCTCTCGTACTCCAACTCCTTGAGTTTGTTGGTGACGCTCTGCAGTTCGAAAGTCTGCTTCTCCAGCTGAGTCCTCAGTGTAGTGCACTGTTCTGCCCTGGTTGTTTGTTTCGCTACCTCGCCTTTTAATATTTCTACTTCTGACTGAGCTCCTTCCAATGCCTGCATAACATCAAACAATCTTACTAATACTATAAATGCGAACGTTTGTGTGTGTGTGTGTGTGTGTGTGTGTGTGTGTGTGTGTGTGTGTGTGTGTGTGTGTGTGTGTGTGTGTGTGTGTGTTTGTTACTTAATCACGTGAAAAGGGCTGAAGGGATATGGATGAAATTTGAAACAGGGATAAATTGTGGTCTAAAGCTGATGGGTACTTTTTATCCCACGAGAACGCGGGTGAAGTCGCGAGCAGAATATAGTTAGCACATAACTTAAATAAAAACCTATTTTACAAACAAAAATTTCCTGCAACAGTCATTGTTGAGACGTCGCCGCTGTCGACTGCGCACGCTGCTCATGAGGAAGAACCCCTCTGTGGTTCAAAACTAGTAGAGCTTTTCTCAGGATATTCACGTGAGTCACCCGCGATTATATTTAATTTAGCATGTCTCACAATAGTTATTATAAAAACATTTCTATGTTCAATAACCAACCATAAATAGTTATTTACTGCCTCTGTACTAAATAAAACTTTATTTCTCACCTGCAAACTAAATAGGTTGCCTTTCGCTGAACTACTCAAATGCTCAATTTTAAGTCGCGCTTATTAGTTCTGTCACTACAAATTCTCTGTAAAACGACAGAGATGGCACGATATTCAAGTACAACTTAAAGTTGAGCCTTTCAGTATTTGAGTGTTACCTTTACCTATGTCAGGCGATAAAATGAGTTATGCATATAAGTTACCTGTAACAATTCGTCCATATCCTTCTTCATCTCAGACAGCTGGTCCTTGCTACTGACACTGCACTCCAGCAACTTGTCCTTCATGTCAGCTATCTGTTTGTGTAAGTCCGCCTTCTCTCTGTCCCAGTTAGCTTTCTGATCTTTGTGTTCTTTCAATGCCTGTAATGAAATGGTAATTTTATTATTGGTGAATAAGGGTCCTGGGTGACTTGGAACGGGTAGAATTTTACTCCAATGGTTCATGAATGTAAGCCGTATATTTCAATCATATTGCCTCATTGGCAGTCGTCGCCAGTGGGACTGCCAGGCAAGGGGTATTGGGTTCGATTCCCGGTTTGGGCAAAGTATTAACTGGCTTTTTTGTTAAATTCTAAGTTGTAGCACGGAGTCTGGAATTGTTTTCAGTATATGGCAGTAGGATCACCCCCTGTTACATGGGACCCATAACATACAATACTGAAAAGTGGATGTTACATTGTACAGTGGCATTACATGCCGTACCTAAAAATGTTTACCTAAGAAATCCATTAGTTAGTAGATAAATATTACTGATAATTACTTTACATAATTATGTTGTAGCCCTGACACAAAAACATAGAAACAATGCAATTTTATGAACATTTTCCTTCAATTTAACTTTAAATTGAACAATTTTTCCAGGTTTACATGTGACATGTATGTGAATTTGTATATTTATAAACACACTCTTCATCACACTTGACAGAAGAAAAAATACCAGAGTGCACAAAGATAAAAAATATATTAACCTTTCAAGTTCTTAGTTAAATATCAATTACCATGCCCTAAGTGTACAAATAAAAAAATATCTACAATAAATAAGAAGAGGAGAAATCGTGTTAATAGAACAAAGAAATCATGCATGTTCTTTATCACAGAAATACAACACAAGTGGTAGGGCCACAGAAATATGTGTTGTAAATATATAACACAAGTGGTTCAAAAGTTAAAGTATGAAATCAATACTAGCCTGATTGTATTCATCTTTCAGCTCCTGTTCCCTTCTCCTTATTAGTTGCAATCTGTCCTCCATATCAGAAAGAGCTCTCTCATCCCTCTTGTGTTGTTCCACGAGTGATCCCTTCTCTTCTTCAAACAGGATCTGCATCTCTTTACGGATTGTATGCTGGTGGTTAATGCGGGACTCCAACTTTGTAATCTATGGAGAAAGTGGTTGTGTTTACATGATAGCTAAATGTAGAGAGTCGTTGAATATTACTATCATAAAAGTTATTACAAATATTTAATTTAGCAAAAAAGATCTAACTCTTCATAACTATGTTAGTTATCAATTATAAGGGAAAGTTTATGCTTATAAGAAAGCTTTTGTTTACCTGAGCTTTAGCGGCTATTAGGTCTATTTTCAGCCTCTTGGCTTCCCATGGCGACGGAGGTGCAGACGCCGGTGTCGTGCTGGACTCCGAACGCACACGTTTCTCCGGCGTACATACATCATTCATGCAAACGCTCGACTTTCTTTTGCCAAGTGATAATAGGTTATTGAGTCCTACAAAAATGATATTAATTAGGAATTTTCCTGAAAAATTACTCATTATAAAATGCCCAAAGTTTATAAAAACCTTACCTTCTTTCATAGATTGATTACTATCAGAAAAATTCAGTTTTGTAGCGGACGACAGTTTGTCTTTCGGCGGGTCCGTATTTATTACCCGTCTAAACGGCTCCAACACATCATTGAACAGTGACATGTCTCCTTCTTTAGCCATATTGGCACGGTTGTTATAATATTAAATTCTATTTATATCAATTAAAAGTCATTATCTACCGAAAATTATAATAAAATTAAAATTCCACGGAATACAACAACGCACGTACTTGTAAAACACTACCACAGATTAAAGAGGAATAGGGGAGAGGAAGAGAGGTGTCAATATTGTTACTTTTAGTCGATTTTAAAATAATTGTTAATAATATAAATTATATCATTTAATTTACATAATCATAATCAAGCAATAATACTATTTAGGAGTGATATGTTTTTAAAATAATAGGAGTTCATGATGTTGAAAACAAGACTTTAATTTATTAAAACAATATCAATTAATATTAATTAATCCCTTCCCTATTGGAGATATTTATTGTAAATAGCAACACTGATGTTTATATTTCAAATTTTATAGGTTATGTTTATCATTTTCACATTTTGTCGCAAAAATATTTAATTTAATTTTGTGTTATTATCGTCAGTGGTTTGTCCATAAAGTACAAATAAAAAATGGAAGTAGATTCTGAACAATATTTTTCGAGCTATGAAGACTTGGATGTAAATATTACAACTTCTATAAAAACTTTGCAATGTGTTCATAAATGTTCAAAATAATGTATTATTTGCTACAGATACACAAGCTAATGCTCGAAGATGAACCGAGAACCTTAGCTTATAAGAATGCAATTTTAAACAACAAGCAGTACTTTAAAGACAAAGTTGTTATGGATGTTGGCTGTGGCACAGGAATTTTATCAATATTCTGTGCTCAGGCTGGTGCGAAAAAAGTATTTGCTGTCGAAGCCAGCAATTTAGCGAATTTAGCTAAGGAAATAGTTAAGGAGAATAATTTTGAAAATGTTATTGAGGTAAGGAACTAATTTCTTTTCCGTCTTCATATACTAACCAAATGGTATATATTTTATACTTCCTATATTTATTATGGGGATCAGGTGTATAAAGTTGTTCTATGGTAAAGCAATATAGTCAGGATCACCAGAATTATGTATAAACAATATCATCTTGATTTGCACATTTCTTTGCATTGCCGGATTTTTTTATCTTACTCAAAATAAGCATTGATTCGTTCATATGTTAAAAACCTAAGATTAATTAATTATCTCTAGGTAATTCACAGCAGAGTAGAAGATGTAGAACTACCAAACTACATGAAGGTGGATGCTATTGTATCAGAGTGGATGGGGTTCTATCTACTCCATGAGGGTATGCTGGACTCTGTCCTGTATGCAAGAGACAGGTTCCTCAAGGATGGTGGGGAAATATTCCCTGAGAGTGCTACCATTTATATTGCACCATGTAGGTAAGATTTGTATTGTTTAATTTTATTGGATCAAAACTTCAAAAAAATGGGCATACCACTGGCTTAGAGTGCACTTCTATTATTGGACAGAGTTAGTCTCTTCACAGATTCAGGACTAACCAATCTGTAACTCCAATCTGTAGCTGTTGCGAAAGATATTTAAATAAAATAATATGGTTAATACTAAAAAAAATATAAGTTACATTAAGTTACCTTCATCAAAACATGCCTGTACCAGTTTCCTCTTCATTCTAATTTATGTATTCTGCTTGCTTGTTAGTGTTCCCTCAATGTACAATCAATGGGACAATGTACATGGAGTGTCAATGAAGTCGTTCTCCAAAGAGCTCCGAGTTAGTAAGGGTAGCAAACCAGAAATACTAACAATAAAGCCTGAAGACCTGCTGGGAACTGAAGTGGCACTCTGCTGGATCAATTTGAGAGAAGATGAATCACATGATTTGAATTCCTACAGCATTGAACATGTTGTTGGTAAGACAATATTTATTTAACTGGGTGTATGTTTCATGACACGGTAGAAAGTCCTAGAGTGGGATAACATACATATTTATAAAATAAGAGGTTCTTGGGTTGCCCTTTTGCATTTAGGGCATAGAGTTTACCTGTTCCTTGGAAGAATGTATCCTACATAAATATAAGAAAAAATAAATATTGTTTATGATGGCATACAGCTTGACAGTTTTGTCAAAATTAATCAAAATAAATGGAAAAAAATATTTTTTGTGCAATATAAATATTAATTTTGTATTTAAAAGTGATGTGATCAAGTGATGCCTTATAAAATACACTCACTGAATAGCAATTGTAGCTAATGAGTGATGTATTTTTAAATTATTATAAAAATGCTGTATCAGTGCATAATATTTCGTTCTCCTCTCAATCAAATTGTTAAAATGAGAAAAAATCTGAAACATTCAATGATGACAAAATTAAAACATAAATTTTTAGGAATGGTAACTAAATATCAATGATTATTTGCTTCCTACGTGAAAAACCCTCAGCACCTGTAAGATAACTGTTATAACTTTTAGAATAATTTTCTAATTAGTGCCTACACATTTAGTGCGGTGGCTAGACAACCAGCTGCCGCGCAGCGTGTTGCGGCTCGATTTTTGCACGGAAAAACTCTGTGTGACCCACAAAATGTTTTTCCGGGTCTGGGTGTCATGTGTATGTGAACTTGTATGTGTGTAAACGCACCCACGACACTGGAGAAAATCCTATTGTGGGGCAACAATTTCTGAAAAGAGAAGAGAGAGGGGCAATAACATTTTTGAAATTATTTACAATGTAACAACTATGTAATATAAAAATTACATACAGGTGCAAGCAAAAACGGTTTCTACCAAGGCCTCTGCCTATGGTTCGAGTGTAATTTCCCCGAGCTTCCAAATGGTACAGGAGACAGTCGCACGGTTCTGGACACAAGTCCACAGAGCCCGGCTACTCATTGGAAACAAACAGTCATAGTGCTGCCGGACCAGCTCGAGGTGGAGGAAGGTGAACCTATCGCCTTCCAGTTGGAAATGACTAGAGCTGATGCAACTAGTAGAAGGTAATATATTTCTTCTAACTTACTGCTGACTAGCAGCTTGTTCCTTTTATCTAATTGTTAACATGTCCTAAGTCATATTGATATGATAAACTTAGAAAGGTAATGCAGCAGATTTGATTGGCACCAAAATTGTTGTCCTTGTTAAAATAATATTTTGCCATGTCAGCTGTAAAACTTCATCTATTGACTTAATTCGGTCATCAATCAATATAGTTTTACCTAATCCCTTTGTCGCCACTTCATATAGTTATACTACCTTATTATATATCCATTATTATTATTCACAATAATAACATACCGCTTTTATTCCCCCAGATACAACCTCCTAATGACGATGTTGGACCCGGAAACGATAGAGCACCCCCTCCCCTGTTCATGTCACATGACCACGTGTATATTAGCTAAAACCTTCATGAAGCAACAAGCTGAACACGCCATCGCACAAAAGAAAGAAGAAGATACGTCCGTTCTAGTTGACGAAGAGATTAATGATGATGACGAAGATGATAATTAAACAAAAACAAATTATGACATTTTATAGTTGTTTTATTTATAAATAACTAATTTTAATTGTATGTACATTAGATTCATTGTTGAGATAAATGCTAGCTATCTATGCTACGTGAGCAACAGTTAGTGATATAGTAATTTTAGCTCTCTTTACTGTCCTAGAGGCGTCAGCGTCGCTTTTGCTCTCTAGGTGCACTTTTTGCTTTGTGCAGAATACGTCATTATGAGATTGTTATTTCATATTATTATAGTTTTATTAAGTGTTTTCTGCTAAATATCATAGGCATTTTTAATTATTTTAGGCACAATATTAGTGATGTAGCGATCTAGGACTATTTCTCAAGAATAGATATAAAGTTGGACTCATATGGCATGGCATCTTGCAAATGGTCATGAAAGAGATCTCATGTCTCCAGAAAGGCACTGATTAAGTTCAAAATACATGAGGAAATATTTCTCTTCTATAAATCTCATTTCCATTTCATCAGTACCGCAGCATATTAGTGACAGACTGCGTCAACTGCGCCTCTCCACTGAGCCACCTGTTATAGTCCAGTCTCATTAGAAGTCTTGCAAGGTACACACCACAAGGCCGATCACGAAGAGATACGAGTAGCTGCATTAGCTGTTTGACTAGCTTGCTGAATCTGGAATAAAAAATGGTATAAAATTAAGTAATCACTACAGCATATTGAGGATAATTATAATACATTACTCCAGTTACTTGTAAACTCGGATGTGTTGGTAACAATAGCTATAACTTATGACAAAAGTTACTAAAACTTTTGAATATTGGTTAAAGCTATAGCCTCCCAACCCAGAAATCTAACCGAGACCTTTGGGACACTTAGTCCTGTAGCAGTATAAAAATAATAAACAATGCTTTCAAAAATTCAACGCGGCCCAAACAGAAAACAGCAGAATACTTCTAAAAACATTGAATAACGTAAGTTCAAAACTTCAAATACTCATAATGCAAAACTTACCGATCAGAATACCCCTTGATGTAATAGTCCTCGGCCTCCTTATCATCGACAGTGTCGTTCATCCCGCAGAATGAATGACACAGCTTCAGCAGCTCCATGATATTGCAGAACACTGGATTGTTCAGAGAGTCTGTCAAATCTGAACTGTCGCTCTCACCTGACTGTGAATATAAAAATAAATAACTTAGGTTTCATTGTGGCCATCGAATATACGGATCACCTGATAGTAAGCAATCGCCGCCGTCCATGGACACCCGCAACACCAAAGGAATTGGAATGATGACGGAGTATGAAAATTAAAAATCTAATTAGTCCGTAAGTTAGGTAATGACAAAATATTAGACACGTATTTATTTATTTTGTTGTATAATAAATAATAATACTTAGATAAAATGAATCAAAGTTTAGGAGTGGGGGATAGAACGTCATTTCTACGTATAAAATGTACATAGAAGTGACTTGTTACGTGTCTAAAGATTTCAAATAATCTACCAGACGGACATTAAAATAAAAATTAGGCATCTACCCTATTATGTACTTTGTAAGTGAATGCATCAAATAAAACGTAATATTTTTTTGAAATCTGAAAGTTACAATTATAAAAATAAACTCACAGAAGTAACAGTAAGAAACGACTGGCTGAGTACATCAGCTAGGAAGTTTGCATGTGCCTTCTTAAGTTTCTCGAAGTCATTGGTCTTGTGCACCGCGTCCATGAGACGGGAGAAGTTGGTGTCTAGTACATCTGCTTGCATATAGTGCTGTAGGTTGTCCATCAGGAACATTAACTTATTGTGTAACTGGCACATTTGGAAGCTGGAATAGGTACAAAAAACACATAATAATATTATGCTACCATCACTACATAGGACTGAACATTTTAACTGCGCTACTATTTTAAATACAACACCAACTTTTCGACAATCCCCATCACAATAGAACCAAATTTCAAAAAGCAATAACCTTCACTGATCGCCCAGAAATCGATTTAAAATTTTACTTGGCAGTTGTTCTTGCGACCGTTCAACTAACGAGATGATTTCAAAATTCAATAACGATATTCGAATCGATATTAGGAAATGTTCGAATAGGAAATCTATTTTAAAACCTATCACACAATCCAACACTCTTTTTTATAATAACTATCGTGAGACATACTAAATTAACTAAAAATCGCGGGTTATATACGGAGAAAAGCTCTATAAGTTTCGAACCACAGAGGGGTTCTTCCTCGTGAGCAGCGTGCGCGGTCGCGGCTAGTAGTAGTATATTCACGTGACTAACCTACGATTTTTAGTAAATTGACACCATTATTTTTGTGTCGAGGGTTCAAAAAAGTGACTCACCTAGTTGACTGCTTATAAGTTTTCCAAAGCGCATGCAAGTCATGTTGCGTCTTCTTTATTCGTAACAAGAGACGGAACATATCGTTGTACCGAGCTAGTACTTCTGGCGTAAACAAGAGGTGTAGTGGCCATTTGAAGTCATATTTCAGGATTATACTGGACCAGCCATCTGCCACTGAAATTTTATACTCAAATGAGAAGATGTAAGGTCGAAATTGCATTAGCAAATCGTACAAAGTTTTTTGGATCACAAGTTTGTTACAGGTATTCATTCCGGTGTTTTTTGTACTAGAGCCTCTAGCTTGTAAGCGGGGCACGAATGATGTTTATTTAAAAGAAAACATGTTCCTTAACTTCGCTAAAACTCGAGAATATTATGGACCCAGGGGTGCATAAAGTGCTTCAACTTTTTTTAAATTTTAACATATATAATTGATTTTATGATCCATTTTTAATGATTATAAGAAAAAATTACCTTAGGGATAACAGCGTAATTTTTTTTTTTGGACCTCGACCTCGATGTTGGATTAAGATAAAATTTAAATGTAGAAGTTTAAAATTTTTGATCTGTTCGATTATTAAAATCTTACATGATCTGAGTTCAAACCGGAACTAATTGAGTAACATTGTCTAATAGTTACGTGAGTAAAATTCTACTATACAACATACTTAGGTAATTAGATTAAGTAAATTTCAAAAGTAGAAAAACATTCATATAGGTTTAATCAAGTACTGCAAAATGAATTAAGTTTCTTAAGGTTTCAAAATTAAACAAGATTTTATACGAACCGGTAGTACTGTCATCTTCAATACTCGTGTTAGCTGAGACATTTGGCTTCACATACGGCAGTTCGAAGCTGAACTTCTCGATATCCGCACTGTTACTGAGAAACACTGCTCTTGCCGCCAACTGGAACGCGTGGTTCATATCTGGAAAAAAAACAATAATTACAACTCTGCTTTTTGTCTCCAACCATGGGCTTCGTCATCACCAGTGAGCGTTTAGAACAAGGTTACTTATTTTTTTTATGGCGTAAGCCCGTAAACGAGCAGACGGATCACCTGATTGTAAGCAATCGGCGTCGCCCATGGACACCTGGAACACCAGAGGCGTTACAAGTGCGTTACCGGCCTTTTGGGAATTAGGAGTTTGAGGATCGTTGGGGATTCAGGAATTGGGGAGATTGGGGAAGGGGAGGGGAGTAATTGGGCCTCCGGTACCCTCACTCACACGACGAAACACAACGCAAGCGTTGCTTCACGTCGGTTTTCTGTGAGGCCGTGGTATCACTCGTGCCGAAGCATGGCTCTCCCACACTTGAATTATTAAATGAATTATTCCGCTTAATCTGCTAATGGCTAAATTAGTAACCATCTTGATCAAAAACTCTATATTGCTCAAAATTTTTGACAGGAACTCTATACAACAAACGTCAAAAATTGGTTTCGGTCATAAAATAAAAAAAAAACGGTCTACCTAGCACGAAGTCTAAACTATGCGCTATTTCTCTCAGAAAATCAAAACATACTTACTAGAAGAAGACATTCCTCTCTCACGATTGAATATCAAATCTTCAGTTGTAAGGTAACAGTACTATTTAGTAGTAGTTAATTATTTCAAAACTAAGTATTTTTAAGGTAAGTATTTAGTATTTTTAGTAGTTTTTTTTTAAGTTACCTCTAGTAGAAGTCCTTGCTGTGGGTTTGTCCAGCATGTGAGCAGTAAGTCTTAATAACTCCAGAAACAGTTCACCTCGTCCAAGCAGGTAGAAGTCTTTCATCAGTCTCAGTTCGTGTATTAACTGCGCTTCCTCTACTGCCACTGTCCAGAGATGCTGAAACATGAAACAAGTTATAATCGTCTTTTTTGTTTCGCTGTAGTCGTGTAAAAGATACGTTTTTTCTCTTCCTAATTCGGTTTATATCGTAAATTTAGGTACTATCGGCAAAGTTTACAATAGTACATTATTAAACCTTTGACTGCCAATAGAAAACTGTTGAAGGCAATTCCTCCGCTAACGTCGACCATCTGTGACCCCATTGTCGACCATCGGTGAAAATAACAAGTTAGACAAAATTCTGGGTCAAACTGGCTATCTACCCGGCATTTTCCCTGTGATCGCTCGCGCCGAGTGCATGCGAATATCGCCTAATGATGGTCAACCGCCAACTTCGTCGATTGTACGTCGTGGAATGTGCATTTAGTTTCAATATTGGCTTTAAACAAAACATTAATATCATGTGCTCCTCGTTGGCCGAGTGGCAAGTGCGACTGCCGAGCAAGAGGTCTCGGGTTCGATTCCCCGGTCGGGCAAAGTACCACTGGGTTTGTGAAAAAAATCTCAGTGGCCGCACGGAGTCTGGAATTGTACCCGCTATAATTATGGCAATAGGCTCACCCCCTATTACATGGTACTACTAACATAAAATAGTGAAAAGTGGGTGTTACATTATAGCGATAAATGCCGTAATGTGCACCCCTTCGGATATAAAGGCGTGATGTTATGTTACTTTAATATGAATAGAATGTCCAATGAAAAGGAAGTCAGTAATACAATATACGTTATTATGATGTCATTGAAAAATGAGCTTTATTTCACTGACCTTAGTAACACATTCCTTAATCTCCCTGATGACACCTCTCAGATTGCAAACTTCAAACACTTCAGGGTCTTTAAGTTTTTGCAACTTCTCATGGAATTCTGCCTCCTTGTCTTCCCAGATTGTGAACCTTAAATATAAAGAAATAATAAATTATTTTTTATGAATTTAATTAAATACTAAAACAATGGTATTACATTCACATATGGTCACTTTAGGAATTTCACACAAATATCTCTATTGGGTATTAACCCATTTTCTTTTAAGCAAAGATTACTTTGCTTACCTTCTAGATTCCACCCCACACTTCTGCAAAGGTAATAAAGTCCTACTAGCAACAAACGAGCTATTTTTCTTCACTTTCTTAGGATCGAAGCCAAACAAAATGATAGTCTTGCCGATGAACAAAATCTCCTGTGCAAGGGAGAGAGGAACAAAGTATGGAATCATACTGGTGTTTAGAGCATATCCGCATTCTAAGGTCGTGTCTTGGAGCTGTAAAGGAAATCAAACTTTATTGAGTGTACTTTTAAGAAGGAAATTCTTTTGTTAGTTGTATCACCGTGATGTGCTGTTTAGTGATTTTTTAATAAGCTTGTTCAAGAACTTGAGCGTTAAAAATAACTATTACTTTGTTTTTATCTTATCTTATACTATTACTAGCGACTCTGACGCGGTATCACCCGATCTGCTCGGATCCTAATGATCGCAGTGTGAGGTTTTATCAGTGCCGGATTAAGCCAGCGCGGGGCCTGTAGCAAATTCTGTCTAAGGGCCCTTGGTTTGCTATCGGTTCTCATTTGGGCATTGAGTAAATTTGGTGCCTTTCTTTTTTCTGGCGTCAGTCGATGAAATCTCAGTCTGGACTGAGTTATGAGCGTTGAAAGGAGCTGAAGTCAAACATTTTACTTTGGTTTTTTTTATTCAAATCTTATATCTTATACCATTATCTTATATACTATTATATAAAGCGGATGAGTTTGTTTGTTTGTTTGTTTGAATAACTAATCTAATCTCCGTAACTACAAGTCTGATTTGAATAATTCTTTTTGTGTTGGATAGTGCATTTATCGAGGATGGCTATACGCTATAAAACATCACGCTACGACCAATAGGAGCCGAGCAGAGCGTGTGAAACCGCGCGGAAGTAGCTAGTTATTCATATTTTTGTCACAATTCCCAACTTTAAATTGCGTGCAACTGTACGTCGCGACGTACAGTTGCACGCGTCGGGCGCAGGAATACCATATCACACCACAATATATTCATATTGCCAGGCACTAATTTTTATTACCTATTTTCTCTCAGTCGATAACTTGTGGGATGCTTCTAGGAGTTGTGTCATGAAGCTTCATGAGCGTCAGCTATGTTACCAGTGGTGGGTTGAGCGGTGGTAGCCGTGCGAACATCTAATAAAGTGTATTTTGTTTTGCCATTGACTCCTGGTGGGAGACTCATCTACTTTATAGTTCGCATAATCTTTTGTAGAAAGGAAACCGTCGACTTTGTAAAGTGATATACGTCAGATGAGCGTATATTTTTTTTTTCATATAATGTGATCAGTCGAAATATAGTCCATCACTTTGTGACTGAATGACGATATCTTTGTACAGAATCTTATGCTAGCTCTAGATTAGAGTATTAACTGTAGTTAAATTAGTGACTAATCGGGAGTAGGTCGGGAGAAGTAGACAGAAAAAAAATTTTTTCGTGTTTCGACGATTGCCACTACTCAATGCGCTACCGACGCCGCAGCTGACAAACATAGCATTTCGTGATAGGGCTCAGTAAAGTATTTTGCGGGTTTTCGACTGAGAGGGTATTGAAACTTACATGAAAATCTGTCATAGGCCATAAACCGTATACATAGGTATAAAGTGAACACGCTAGCCAAGCAATCGAAATGTTTTTTTTTTCTTGAGCAGTGGCCAGTTAAAGACTCTGTTTTGATTCCCTTGCGAGTACTTGCGAGTTTCAAAATATGCAGCTTAAATTGCTGTTTCTTTAGATTGCGTTGACATAGAAGTTTGATTTTGTTACAGCTTAAAGGTATTATAGACCTGAGTATTTGGTATGAATTTCAATTTAATACCTCTACGCGTTTATGAGGAAATGGGTAGTAAGTTTAAAATTATTAAAAAAATATATATTATGTGATGTAACTAAAAATTTATGGTTTTCGTAATTTTTCCTTTATCTATGCTATAAGACGTTGCTTCGTACCAAATTTCAAGATTCTGAGTTCACGGGAAGCACCCTGTAGGTTTTGATTCCCTTGCAAGTGTCGAAAATTTGCGGCATAAACGGCTGTATCTTTTGATTGCGTTGGCTTAGAAGTTTGATTTTTTCACAGCTTCAAGGGACAGTAGACCTGAGTAATTGATATAAATTGATATAAGCTTCATACCTCCACGCGTTCCTGAGAAAAAGAGTCTTGACAGACGGACGGACGGACGGACAGACGGACAACAAAGTGATCCTATAAGGGTTCCGTTTTTTCCATTTGAGGTACGGAACCCTAAAAAGAAGTCCACTATAAGCTTTACTATATTCCTTGAAATCGTTTATAAACATTTATTACAAAATATTTCTGACAAGTAAATGAAGAAATATGCGTTGTGTACGGTCACCATCAACAAAATAACAGGAATAATATAGCACTATTTTCACATCTTTGAACTGATTTAACTCGGTTTGGACTGTGTTTTTGATATAAGACCCCATATATTTTTTTGTTTGTAATGTTATTCTGCATCAGTTTTTACACATCCAATAAACTGCCGCGAAAAATAAAAAGGCACCACGCTCCATACAAATTTGGTCATTGTCATTTAGGGTATTATTACATAAAACAAAACTGTTACAAATAAACTTTTCTGGATTTGTTATGGGCAAATTTAGCGATTACACTTTCAATATCGACTTCTTTAAGCAAGTCATGCTCTATATTCAACATTGTGAAATGATTAAGACGTCCTTGGCCCATAGTGTTCCTTAATTAATTCATTTTTGATTCGTTCAAATCGGGCTCGGTTCGCCCGCCAATGGCACCAACCAAGCGAACAAATAGTCACTTTCCTTTTCTTACACATACAAAATACCGACTATTTGTCTTTTTTCGTTAATTTCGTTAAGAAAAAAAAATCAAATTACATGTAGGTTGGTAGTAGTTTTGTAAACAAAACATTTTCTTCATAAGTCTTGCTTTTGAAGTGGTGTAATTACGAAATACCTATTTGAGCGCGGGGCCCCCCAATCCGCGGGGCCCGTAGCATTTGCTACTCTTGCTACGTGGCTAATCCGGCACTGGGTTTTATAATCTATAGCCTTCTTTGATAAATTGAATATTTACAACATGCATGCAAATTTACTTGTTAAGCATTGTTATTACCATTTTAAGGATTTTTTAAATGATAATTTATAGGTTCATTGTTTCATGTTTTAAACTTTAGTTGTTTCTTTAATAGTTTTATACATACATACATACATAACTTCACGCCTGTCTCCCATGGGGGTAGGCAGAGACTAAGGAACGCCAATTAGTACGATTCTTACATACCTCTTTCTTGTCTCTTTAATAGTTTTATAAATTTCATAATTGTTTTGTACGCCAATTATGGCAAAACATGTTGAGACGAATTGAACAAAAAAAGTTGTTCTAAAATTCATATTCTACGCGGACAAAGTTGCGGGCAACGGCTAGTAAGAATGTAAGGATAAATATTTAGAATGAACTCTAAATAAGAGGATTATAGGATTATTTTTCAATATCTTGCCTCAAATTAGAACTCAAAAATAATAGAATTATACTTGGTTATAGTACTTACAGTAGAAACAAGTGACTTATCACAAGTATTTGTAGAGGATGGGGAAGACAGAAATGTATCAGAAGGATCTTGCGCCTGATTGTTCAGTATAAAGAACTCGTGGTACGGATCTTTTAGTTCTCCATACAAGAGCCAGGTGCAGAGCTGATTAACAAATACTTTATTCACACAGGAGAATATTCTGGAAAAATTTAAAGTAATTAGGATGAATGATCATAGACCTGTCTACATTATCCGTCCACACTTTGTGTGCCAGAATACAGATCCTGCGAGACACAGTGTATTTTGTATATACCGTGTCTTATATACCGACATAAGAGGTTAATTGTAATATCATTATTACTTTAAAATATTCTGAAGTTTATTTTGTACTATTATATAAAGCATAAAGCAGTATTTCAAAATAAAAGTGTGGCTATAAGTGTTTGGGGGCCATTTTTCGGCACGAATGGGCCGGCTCGACAGGCCTCACAGAAAACCGACGTAAAGCAACGCTTGCGTAGTGTTTCGTCGTGTGAGTGAGGTTACTGGAGGGCCAATTACCCTTCCCATCCCTAATCTCCCTGAATCCCTAACGATCCTCAAACTCCTAATCCCCAAAAGGCCGGTAACGCACTTGTAACGCCTCTGGTGTTCCAGGTATCTATGGGCGACGCCGATTGCTTACCATCCGGTGATCTGTCTGCTCGTTTACCGACTTATGCCATAAAAAAGGCTTTCTTATATTCTTAAATTACCATGTTAATTAAAAACAAACCTTAGAATGGCTTCTCGAACTTGTTCACTGCCATTCAAAATATACTGATGCAGTAAACTCAATATCTGGCATCCAGTTAGTTTCCGGTGTTCAATAGTGGATATAATCTTATTTAAAGTGTTAAACAGTCCTTGGTACTTCTCTACATAGCTGTATACAAATGATAGAGTGTAATTATGGTTCCCAATCACTAGGCTCTCCACTTCCATTAGATTTTGTTTGTATGATTGTAGAACTTCTGCAAAACCTTCGCTGAGAGCTTGCGAGTACAGGCCACATAGTTTGAGACCTAGGAATAGAAGAATATGTCATCATTCTTTGTCCAATCCATTCTGCTGTGGAATGTGCTGCCCACGGATGTCAGGACGGCAACTAGCCGGCTTAGTTTTAAAGTTAAGGTTCGTGAACTATTGCAGAGAGAACAGACAGACGCATCACATACTTAATTTATCATTTTGGCGATTGTATTTAATATATATGTATATATATTTTATATGTAGTTTTATCCCCAATTTATTTATTTACTTTTATAGTATTGTTATTTAGTAATATTGATAATGTATCTTATGTAATTTATATTATACCTATATATACGGATTTATGTATGTATTTACAGTTATTTACAGTTATGCATAATCATAAATTTATTTATATAGATTTTTCTGTGTCACATAAACCATAATACCTATTACACCTACTGTTGCACATCTCTGCATCACCCCATGGTTGACTGTTAGAGAATGCCACCCGGCATTAAGTCCGCCATCATATGATTATTATGCAGAAGTGTTAATAAATAAATTTTTTAATAATATCACTGAATAATCCTACTAATATTATAAATGTAAAAATTTGGTTGTTTGTTTGTTACTCCATGTCAAAACGGCTGAAGGGATCGAAATGACATTTCGAACTGGGGTAGATTATGGTCTGAAATAATAGATAGGCTTCTTTTATTCCTCAAGAATACAGGTGAACCCGCTGGCAGAAGCTAGTATATATATTATAATTACCACTTATTGTTAGTGAAGAAATGTAAGAATATTACAGGCAATAGTTATTTTTTTATTATTTGGTCATAATGTTAAAGACTTGTTCTTCCAAGGTATACAAACCCATATGAGCCTTTCTGGAGCGGAATCCAGTAGCTTCAACAAAACGTTGAATTTTATGGTGGCTCTTGGCTATGTTGGTAATCCTGGCAAACATTTCTGGATCTCCTTGGTTGGCGTATGTTACAAGCTCTTTCTGCAAAGAGGTAATGTTATAAATATAATTTCTTGTATCCTTTTGGTAATGAATTATATTTTAATATTTGTTGAACTTACCTGTCCTTCCACCGTGTGTGAGCAATCCCAAAGGATTAATAGCGCATCGTGAATCATATTTGTTATTTACTCTTTTTAAACTAATAATATTCCAATATGTTTTAGACCTACAAATAAGTAAATTTTATTATTTACAGTATAAATTCGGTTTCCAATTTATTAAGATTTCAATTTAACTCGTCGAGTACCGGTTTTGTAGACACAATTATAGAACAATAGGTTACGGTCACCGGTGACCGCTTGGTGTTTGACAGTTTAAAGAGCAAACGCCCATAAAAACTGGGGGAGATTGTGCAGGTCTTTTTCTATTTGAACTATTGTCAGCATCCATGGCTTCATTCTTGGTATTGGGGAGGGTGATAGTCATTAGAGGGGTGTACTCAAACATTTTGTGAGGATGGTCGGGAGGTATTTTTATATTCATATTAAAAAGTGCAGGTACACCGAAAAAGATATGAGACAAATGAAATTAAAAAGAGTAACAAGGGATATTTTACCTACCTTACCAATAGTTTTTAGTTTATGTATTAGACAGACAATCACACTTGTGTCAGATATTGATGATTCACGGAGGTGGTTTCAATTAGATTTCAATAAAAATTTAAGTTGAAAAAAAACAGAAACAGTTTGCATTAAATTTCGACATGACATGTTTTGATTCAAATGCTTTGACTGACATTTGTTTTCAACAAATACCAATTTTAATCATTCATTCAAAAGTTTTAGTCGATTTACAAATACTAAGTGAATGTAGCAAATCTGCTAGAATATAAAAAAGTATTCCAAAATATCACTTAAAATATCAAATTCATTTCTTTCCACTCCGTTATTTTGCAAAAAATTGTCTAAACGTTTAAACCCGAAAACGTTCATTGACATGGCAGCAAGTAGTATTTATTATCTGTATGGTAGCGATACGGAGTTCTAGAGCTTTGAGCTTTTATTGCAAAAGGGATTTAAGTTTACACATATCTGTCTATACCTAAATGCGCTTGCGCCGCCCACGCTGTGACTTACGACATTGAACTAGTATTGATTGTATTGGTTTGTTGAGTGAGACTGACGTTCTATACTGTGCTAGATGCTGTACAATTTTCAATAAACAAAAACAACGGTTAATTCTGAAATAAAGTTATGTCGGAAAACTGGATAAAATTGCAGTTAATTTGTTTGTTTTTAATATGTGTTTATGAATGAATATTGAGATTTGAGAATGGCGGAGTCTTGTAGATTTGGAAACCATAACATAGAAAGTAAAATATCAAACAATCATGATGAAAACTTTTGTATAATACATGTTTTATGTGTATTTATATCACTTGTAACGATATTAGCAGACTTGACGACAGGTGAGGCATTTCTAATTATATTTAAGTACTTAATAGTTACTTAACAATAAAAATACTTCTGTTATTATTTAAAATCAAACCGGTTCGAATAAATTAAATTGTATTTATTGTTTACTTTTTACAGATGTGATCGTTTTCGCCGAATATTGTAAAGATGGACATTTCTACTGGGCTTTCGGCACATTAATTTTTATAGTTACTCCAAATATCCTTATAAATATATTTTCAATCAGATGGTTTGTTACTGATCAAAAATCTAGTTTACGTCATTGGATTACTCATATTTGCCTGGTTGGTTTGCTGGAAAGGTAAAGGTCCTTTTTTTCTAACATTCTACTGCAGTTACCTGTGTTAGAAGTTTTTATAAATGTCCGGTTTTGTTTCAGGTATATCATCTTTCTGCGTAAAGTATTTGTGTGTAAAAATTTAGAATCCATTAAAACTCATAAGTTGATTTCACAAAGAAATGATTTGAGTTTATTACATTTTTTGTATATTTTTATTGGAACAGTGCCACAAATAATATTACAAACGTATGCTATCGTAACTTTAGATGAAAATTATTATACAAAAGGTAAACTATTATACTTAGATAATACAATAGATAGATTTTTTTCAAAATTGCCTATTTTAAAAATAACTTATTGTGAACTGTTTACTTTTCAGTTTTTGCTTTAACAGCGTCAATTGCCTCTGTTATTTGGGGTTGCGCTACATACATTTACAGTATTACAGCATTCTCCAGCGAGAACTTCAGTTGGTACTCAATATTACTGAAGTTTATATGGCACTTTGGCATGCTAATCGGGAGAATTCCAGGAATATTATTATTTGCTGTAGTATTTGGTATATGGACATTGATACCATTAGGTAAACCTTTAGATATTATTAAGTAGGAAATTTCTGTCTATTAAGATAGACAGAAATTTAAAAAAGACATGTTTAAGTATGCTATGATTACAAATTTCTGTCTATTAAGATAGACAGAAATTTACTTTACTTTATTTAATTTACTTTACTACTGTTTATCTTATTTACAGGGTTACACTGGTTTGCAATGACCTTTTGGATAGTAGTCCAGAAAACTACATTTTGCCCAAACAAATTAGAAGAAACTCTTTACAATGTCGTCATGGGCTTTGTATACTGCTTTTGCTACATAAACTTACGAGAAGGCCACACACGATACCGTTTAATGCTGTTTTACACTTTGATGATATCGCAGAACTTTGGAAGCTTATTTTTGTATGTGCTCATTTCCGATACTGAGCGACAAAAGAAATCATGGTCCATTGCAGCAGCTATCTGCATTATATTTGGTACGATAGTTGGTAAGTTTTACTTAAAAAGTCGTAAATGATTTAAAAGTGTATTAAAAAGACAAAACTGATCTGCTCACTAACTGAATTTTTCATGATTTTTAGGCATTCTCTCCATGATATTATACTACCGATATTTTCATTCAACGGGACCAATATCATGGAAAAATAACGACATTGAACTTAACAATAAAGTCGCCGTACAAGAATCAAACAATAAAAGAGATCAAGGAACTGGCTTGAATCATGTTCGATCATTTAAAAGCTCACGCAAAAATGAGGAATCAATTCCTACTTCTAGGTGTGTATCTTAATGAAAGCTTACAGTTTACAACTGTGCTCAACTCTTAAAATACTTAACGAAATATATCTTTTCCAGCAAAGAATTATCAACTGAACAAGTTCAAAGACAAGAAAGTGATAACGCTGACAAAAAGTTCTTACTGGAACATTGGATAGCAAGATCTGGAACACCTACTTTCACATCGGCACCAATCGGGAATAATAGTTTGGAGGCATCTAGTATAGAATTTTACACTGTTGAAAATACGCCACAGTCTGTTTTACAAGAAGAGGACTATAAACACAAGAATAACAAAAAGAGAACTATATGTTCTCCAACAGAATTAACATTAAAGCTAAGTTCCATGGAGAATTTAGAAAGCTCAATAGACGAAATAACTTCGAGCAATTTAAATTTGCATAAAAGGAGAGGCATATGTTCTTCGGATGCTTTAAGAGACGATTTAACTAATGTAAACTTGGACGTTTGCAATCTAGTAAATGAAGAATTTATGAAAATGTTAAAAACTGACAGCTCTGTGATCAGTCATGATACAGATGGTTCTAATAAAAAGACTTCTTCTGATTCTATCGACATGGATCTAGATTTAAGTTTTAGTGATATTAATAGTTCTGATATAAACACTTTTAACGAAAACATTGTTCAAAAACTGTGTTTGAGTGCTCTCAAAAATATCAAAGTCGGAAATCAAGATGCGGATATCGAAAACATACAAAGGATAGCGTTAGATATACTCAAGGAAATGTATGCTAAAAAAGACAAAAACAAGATCGGAATTGGAACAGACCTATTCCCATCAAAACCACGAGAGCTAGATACACCGACTGAAGTTTTGTCAGTCCATGATTATGAAAATATATGTGCCGTAAATATAGCCCGCGAAGCATGGGGCCTTCGATCTTGGAATGGTTATTCCGATATAGAGAACTGGCTGCATGACGGAAGTGTAGTCAGAGATCGAAGAAGAGACACATTGACATCAGGTAGCTCTGAAATAAGTAGTTGTGTTTCACAAGAACTCAAAAATGCAATTTTAACTGCACCACCATTTCCTAAAAAACCACATACGTACTCTAATGTATTTGTGAAATTTGATAGAACAAATCAGGACGATTATGCAAATACATTGGTTTCGCATGATGATACCTTTTTAGCAAAGCCGTGTATGGCGGACGTTAGTAAAGATCCAAACCATTTAGAACCAATAATGGAAGAGTTAGATGACTTAGGAGATATTGATCCGTCTAATAAGAAAAGACTGAACTCTGAAAGTTCTTTGGTGGCAACTATAGATGAAATTCGTAAATCGACAGCAACTAACTCTCCGCGAAATTTGTATTATAGAAGAGAACATTTATGGGATTCACCTCAATTTAACACGTCTACAAAAATTGATTTAAAACAAGCCCTTTGGAAAGAACCGTCCAAGTTTGACTCCAGTAACATAATGGAGGCTTTACCAGAAAAAGAGAACTGTATGAGTATTGCGCAAAGAACGAAATTTGATAGTATAAAAAAAGAACTTAACGTTTCAAATGTGTCATCAACATCCACAGATTCTCCCACTGGAGAAATTGTTACTGTTTACAATAAGAATACTAGACGTCGTCAAAAGTCGAACTCGAGTAATATAAAAGTACAAAGTAAGAAAATAAACACTAAACCTGAACAAAATCGACATGATTTTTCTAATAAGGACATCGACTTTTTATGGCAGTTGGTTTCAGAAAGCTCCGTCCCCAGTAATTCTAACGAAGATTGTTCATCAAATAAAATATCGACATCTTTACAATCGCTGATTCAGAAAGATACTGCAATGCCTGTCGTTAATACTTCGACATCAAAAATATCGAATGTTAAGAAGGGAGCGAGAAGCAGGCCTCGCCGAAAGTTCTCTATTTTAAGAGAACGATTCGAGCCTAGACTAAATTTGAACTCAGATGAAGAAATATTATACAGATCTTGTGAAATTAGTCAGCCACAAACTGATCCCAGTGTTGTAAAAGTTAAAAACCAGTTCGATGTAGACCAAGAAGTCAGAAATATGGCTCGAAAACAAAATTATGACAATTCGTCATTTGAAACGAATGAATTCCCACCAAATGCTGCGGGATGTGACCTAATCATGTCTAAAAATATTAAGGAAAAACGATCTTTATTCATGAAACAGGTTTTGAGCCCACCAAAATTTAACACAAAATTAAGACATAAAGTGTGAGGCGATAGTTTAAATTGTTTGGTGACTATTAGTTCCTAGTATTTTTGTATTTTATCACCAGAAGCAAAGTCAATGTTAACATAGATCTCAAAATGAGTGTAGTCATTTTATACTACCACTAAGTTACATTTTATACAATTTAGAAAATTTCCTTTCGTTTAAAACACTATAATATTGTGCAGACATTTATGTATAGTGTATAAGAATAATTATGATAGTGCAACTGGTGATGATATTTTTATAGAAATAGTCTTCCATATTGTGATATTATTCGAAATTTTAGTCTGCTGTAACTGTGTCATTGTATGATTGTGTTTTGTATTGTTGTATTTGTGATAATATTTAAGTATGCTATGATTACAAATTATGGAACTAGATAAATGAAAAAGACATATCGGAAACTTGCCTTGTATTTTATGTTAAGCCAGTATTCTAGCTACTTATAGTTAAT